CCGGGGTGGGGGGGAGTAGCGGGGTGCGGAGCTCGCACCCTCCAACCCTGCCACACTACCCCCTCAAGGGACAGCAAAATCTTTTCACTGCCTTCTCTGGTTTCCCTTGTGGACACCACAGCACTCCAGCCATAGAGCCAGACCTGCCTCAGAGCAGTCGACAGCTCTTAGACCCCTGACCACACCTACTGCTGCAGTTTCTGCAGGCTGCCCTCATGGCCCTGCAGGAACAGGACCCCCAGCTCATTGTAGAGTACCTCCTCCCCTCTCTTTATGTGCTGCTCATGTAATACAACCTCTCCCACCCTTCCTTTTACACTATGCACAACCGCTTCTGGTACTGGGACAGTAGTTCCAACTGGTGGGACCAGATTGTTATGGAGCAGTGGGACAAACAGCAGTGGCTCCAGAACTTCTGCATGTGGAAGGACACCTTCCTGGAGCAGTGCAAGTGGCTCACCCCTGCCCTCAGAGGATGGGACACCCACATGTGACCTGCCATTCCCCTCCAGAAGCGTGTGGCCATCGCGTGTTGAAGCTTGCCATACTGGACGGTTACCGCTCCATTGGGAACCAGTTCAACGTGGAGAGATGAACCGTCGGGGCCATGGTCATGAAGGTATGATGCTCTCATGCTATTGTCCCAGGAGGGTGGTGAACTGCTGGCATGGGGTTTCCTAGGGAAGGTGGGGGAGTGGTGGCCTTCGAATATGTCAGCCGGAAGGTTACTTTTCAATCATGCTGCAGGCCTTCATGAACCACTGAGGCCAATTCACCAACAATGTCGGGTGGTCAGGGAAGGCACATTATGCCCACATCTTCCACAATTCCAGCCTCTTTCAGAAGCTGCACCCCAGCACTTTTTTCCCCAACCACACCATCAAGTTCAGGGAAGTGGGCATGCCCATGTTCATTGTGGGAAATGCTGCCTACCCTTTGCTCTGCTAGCTGATGAAATCCTACATGGGACACCTAGACTAAAGCAAGGGACATTACAATGCCAGCCTCAGCAGGGCCCGTATGGTTGTGGAGGGCGTCTTCGACCATCTGAAAGGGAAGTTCCACTGCCTCCTCACCCACTTGGACATTGGTGAGCAGAACATCCCGCAAGTGGTGACAGACTGCTGTGTCTCCCACAGAAGAAGGGGGAGATGTTCCTGCCAGGGTGGGAGGGCTATCTGGTACCCATCAGGGGGCTGTGCATATCCAAGAGGCCTTGAGAGAGAGTTTCACACAAGGCCCCAGTGACACTCCCCCCTGGACTCCCCCACAAAGGGCCTCTACATTGCTCCTCTGTGCCTTTCCTCCGTCACCCCTCCCTTGCTTTTCCCCCTCCCTTCCCCTGTTGATACAATAAGAACATAAGAACGGCCATATGGGGTCAGACCAACAGTCTATCTAGCCCAGTATCCTGTCTGCCAACAGTGGCCAATGCCAGATGGCCCAGAGAGAGGGAACACAACAGATAAACCTCTCGTGATCTCTCCCCGTCACCCATTTCCAGATAAACAGATTGTAACATGATTATCTAATTAATTATATCTCACCACCTTAATTGGTTTACACCCAACAAAATTAAGTATACAGGAGAGAGAACAATAAAAGAAACAGAACCATACAAACACTAGAGAGACAGAGGCTGCGTCTAGACTGGCATGATTTTACGGAAATACTTTTAACGGAAAAGTTTTTCCGTTAAAAGCATTTGTGGAAAAGAGTGTCTAGATTGGCACGGACGCTTTTGCGCAAAAGCACTTTTTGCAGAAAAGCGTTTGTGCCAATCTAGATGCGGTTTTGCACAAGAAAGCTCTGATAGCCATTTTCGCCATCGGGGCTTTTTTGTGCAAAACAGTTTTCAGCTGTCTACACTGGCCCTCTTGCGCAAAAACATTTCTGGAAAAGGGCTTTTGCCCAAACGGGAACGTCAAAGCATTTGTGCAAGAAGCACTGATTTCAGACAGTAGAACATCAGTGCTTTTGCACAAAAGCAAGCGGCCAGTGTAGACAGCTGGCAAGTTTTTGCGCAAAAGCAGTTGCTTTTGTGGAAAAACTTGCCAGTCTAGACGCAGCCAGAGAGTATAACAACAAAGCAATAAATAAATGAGTTTTTCATAACCCCAACTATTGGTAAGTGGGTCCTTGCCAGACACAAAGCTATCAACCTAAGGTTTCTTTAAGGCTCTTCTTTTTATCTGGAGGTGTTAGATTGGATCGCTTTTCCAACATCTCCAAATTGCCTTATTTCAATATGACTGGTTTGGAATGTGCCAAGAGGTGACTGTAGGTTTCCTAGCCTATGGCTGTTCCTGCTGCTTAGCCAAAAGGAACAAGGCCTCATACCATCGCATATAGATTGTGATTTTGGTTCTTTGCTTTTATACCCCTGGAAGAATATACCTAAATTCTTCAAATATAGGCCATACTAAGCAGGCCTGAATATCTATATCCTAAGTGGGCTGTGCCCACGAAAGCTCATGATACCATCTACATGTTTTAACAAAAGACAGGACTATGCAGCACTTTAAAGACCAACAAGATGGTTTATTAGGTGATGAGCTTGTTAGTCTTTAAAGTGCTGCATGGTCCTGTCTTTTGTTTCAGCAAGACCAGACTAACACAGCTACATCTAATTTACATGTTGACCATATGTTGTTATATCCTAACAGTTGAAACCTCTACTTGCTAAATAATAATAAAATTGTTTTCTGCACAATTTAGGGGCCACTTTGATAATAATTGACACTCGCCAGCCACCTTGATATTTGTATGGCACTGCTCCCACACTATCAGGCAGAGTGCCTCCCAGTTAGTTTTGGATTTACTTTCACAACACCTCAGTGAGATAGGAAAGCATTATCCCATCTTCAGAAATGGGAAATTACAGTAGAGAGGTCACACTGGAAATCTGTGTCAAGTAAAGAAATCGAGCATAGATGTCATGTTAAGACAATTTTATGGTTTATGCCTCTATGTGAAAGAGGCAGCAAGCAGAAGTGCTACTGTGTCAGCTTTTGCTTATTGGCTAGTGGACTAGTTGCTTACATTTCTATCCTGCAACCCAAACTACTCATCCCTCACCCCACTCCAGAACCCTCAGCGCCTCTTGCTCCTCAAGTAAAGAAATCGAGCATAGATGTCATGTTAAGACAATTTTATGGTTTATGCCTCTATGTGAAAGAGGCAGCAAGCAGAAGTGCTACTGTGTCAGCTTTTGCTTATTGGCTAGTGGACTAGTTGCTTACATTTCTATCCTGCAACCCAAACTACTCATCCCTCACCCCACTCCAGAACCCTCAGCGCCTCTTGCTCCC